CAAGTTACATAAAGACATTTGAGGAAAGATTTTATTGGAAAAAGAAAAAGTCTGGTCGTGTTCTCATTTTAAGATATCAGTCCAAACTGTGTTTGAATTGGTCAGTTATTCAATAAGAAATTAAATTAAACTCAGGATTTTGTTAAATCCAAATGGCCTGTGGGTGTCAGTAGTACACCGACAAACTAGCAGATACTTTGTCCATCCCCTCACAAACCTTTTGTTTGCCACTGAAAGGAGCAGCCATTGGAAACAAATTTACCTACCGATTGCATCGTGTTGTATGATCCATGAATCCGCGGTTCAAAATAGAGTTGATTTCCTTTGCTGGGTATACATTAAGTTATCTTGCTGGATTATGATGGAGACCAAAATGAAACGTGGAGGGGAGATTTTTTTCTGGTTTGCTGTGCATCTCGCGTTACTGCTTTTTATAAGGAAAGATGCTTTGGCCGAATCAAGATACTCAGTTGCAGAAGAGGTAAAAGATGGAACTGTTGTGGGAAATGTTGCAAAGGACCTTGGCCTCGATATGATCTCTTTGAACACCCGGCGGTTCCGTGTTGTGTCTGAAAATGAGAAAGCATTTTTTGATGTGAACCCGGAAAGTGGGGATCTTCATACCCTTAAGAAAATCGACAGAGAGGAGCTTTGTCATGGACGTGGTGCATGTCTAATAGAGCTGAAGATTATAGTGGAAAACCCTTTGGAAATACATTATGTGGTTGTGGAAGTTACTGACGTCAACGATCATTCACCTTCTTTTTCTGAAAAAGAGCAGACGTTTGAAATATTTGAGCAAACACTACCAGGAAGGCGATTCCAGCTGCACACTGCGCGAGACCCTGACGCAGGAATCAACTCTATTCGTACCTACACCTTAACGGCAAACGACCACTTTGAAATAGATATTCGCCAAAGTGATGAGGAAAAAATACCGTTTTTAGTTCTGAAGAAGACGTTGGACAGAGAAGAAAGGAACAAACACGTTCTGCTTGTAACAGCTGTGGATGGAGGCAAACCTCCAAGATCAGGTTCACTTAATGTGTCTATTGTTGTTCTTGATAGTAATGACAACCGCCCAACATTTAGCCGAGAGAGTTACAGCATTGAATTAGAAGAAAATGTTCCAGTCGGTACTTCAATATATACAGTTAAAGCTTTGGATCCAGATGAAGGGACAAATAGCGAAATTGAATACAATCTAGGGAAAACTCTAAAGAAAAGGGTCTATGAGATTTTTGACCTGGATAAAAAAACCGGAGAGATACGTGTGAAAGGAGTGGTGGATTATGAGGAAAATGACGTGTATAAACTGGATATTGAAGCATCTGATAAAGGAACACCTCCTTTAACGGGCGAGTGTAGAGTCGTTATAAAGATTAAGGATGTAAATGATAATCCACCAGAAATTGAAATCACATCATTGTCAAATACAGTTTCGGAAGACTCAAAGCCGGGAACTGTGATTTCTCTCATCAGTGTGCGAGATAAAGATGCAGGCATTAATGGAAAAATCGTTTCAAGCATAACTCCAGAGAATATTTTTGAATTAAAGCCTTCCTATAAAGAGAATGTATATTCGGTGGTTACGAGCAGATTTTTAGATCGAGAGGAGGTGTCTCAATATGAAATAAAGATCAGGGCTACTGACTGTGGTGTGCCTCCCTTATCAACCTTTAAAACTTTCCGCATTCAGATTTCAGATGTAAATGATAACTGCCCACGATTTCCCCAAACGCCATTATACGTTTACCTGAAAGAAAACAATGCTGCCGGAGAGTCAATATTCTCTGTAAGTGCCACAGACAATGATTTGAATGAAAATGCAGCAATTTCATACCATGTTCAAAGAGACGGGAGTCGAAACGATATTTTGTCCTTTCTAAATATAAATTCAGAGAATGGACAAATATCCGCGCTGAAAAGTTTCGACTTTGAGACTGTGAAAACGTTCCAGTTCCATGTTGTTGCCACAGATTCTGGAACTCCG